CCAGGCGTGGTGGTGGGCGCCTATAGTCCCAGCTACTCAGGAGGCTGAGGCAGGAGAATGGCGTGAACCTGGGAGGCGGAGCTTGCAGTGAGCTGAGATCCGGCCACTGCACTTCAGCCTGGGCAACAGAGCGAGACTCCATCTCAAAACAAACAAACAAAAAAGAACTACTGCTCTGCAAAAGATGATGGTAAGAGAATGAAAAGCCATGGGCTGGAAAATAATATCTGCAAAGCACATATCCAATAAAGAACTGATATCCAAAACATGCAAAAAAAAAAAAAATCCCCTCAAATCTCAACAATAAGAAAACAACCCAATTTAAAAATGGGCAAAAGATCTAGGCAGACACCTCTTCAGAGAAGACCTATACAGTTGACAAATAAGCATATGAAAAGATGCTTAACATCTTACATCATTGGGGAATAGCACATGAAAACAGTGAGATTCGGCCAGGTGCAGTGGCTCATGCCTGTCATCCCAGCACTTTGGAAGGCCAAGGTGGGTGGATCACTTAAGCCCAGGAGTTTGAGAGCAGCCTGGCCAACATGGTAAAACCCCATCTCTACTAAAAGTACAAAAAAAAAAATAGCCGAGTGTGGTGGCGCGTGCCTGTAGTCCGAGCTACTTGAGAGGCTGAGGCACAAGAATTGCTTAAACCCGGGAGGCAGAGGGTGCAGTGAGCTAAGATCATACCACTGTACTCCAGCCTGGATGACAGAGCAAGACTCTGTCTTCAAAATGAAGAAACAAAAATACAGCTGCCACTATACCCATCAGAGTGACTAAAATCCCAACACTAACAACATGAAATGCTAGTGAGGATGTGGAATGACAGGGATTCTCAAACAGCACTGGTGGGAATGCAAAATGGTACAGCTACTTTGGAAAGCAACTTGGCACTTTCTTCTAAAGCTTCCATAGTCTTACCACGCTCTCTAGCAATCATGTTCCCAGATACTTACTCAACTGAGTTGAAAACATGGCTACACAAAAACCTGCATGTGAATGTTTATAGTAGCTTTATTGATAAATTGCAAAAACTTGGAGCAAACTAAGATGTCTTTCAATCAGTAGGTGGATACACAAACCGTGGTACATCCCTACAATGGGGTATGATTCAGTGATAAAAAGAAATAAGCTATCAAGCCACAAAAGACATGGAGGAACCTTAAATGAGCTTTGCTATGTGAAACAAGCCAGTCTGGAAAGGCCACATACTACATGATTCCAACTCAGTGACATTCTGGCAAAGGCCAAACTATAGAGACAGTTAAAAATAGTGGTTGCCGGGGGTTCCAGAAGGGGGTGGGGAGAGGCTAAGGGATGAACAGGTTGTGCACAGGGGATTTTTAGGGCAGTGAAACTGCTCTGTGTCATGCCGTGACAGTAGATATATGTCATACATTTGTCAAAACCCATAAGATGCACCCTAATACCAAGAATTGGCAAGGAAGTAAAGAAACTGAGGCCGGGCGCGGTGGCTCAAGCCTGTAATCCCAGCACTTTGGGAGGCCGAGATGGGCGGATCACAAGGTCAGGAGATCGAGACCATCCTGGCTAACACAGTGAAACCCCGTCTCTACTAAAAATACAAAAACCTAGCTGGGCGAGGTGGCGGGCGTCTGTAGTCCCAGCTACTTGGGAGGCTGAGGCAGGAGAATGGCGTGAACCCGGGAGGTGGAGCTTGCAGTGAGCTGAGATCCGGCCACTGCACTCCAGGCTGGGCAACAAAGCGAGACTCCGTCTCAGCAAAAAAAAAAAAAAAAAAAAAAAAGCTAAAAATAAAATTATCATTTGACCCAATAGTCCAACTCCCAGGACTCTACTAAAAGAAATGGAAACAAATCCACACAAAGACTTCCACATGAACATTCTAAACAGCATTATTGATGATAGCAAAAACGAGAAACAACGCAAATGTCCATCCGCTGATGAACTGAATGGATAAACACAGGCGGTATTTCCATACAATGGAACTACTCAGTTTAATAAAAGGAATGAAACACTGACGCATGCCACAGCATTGATGAACCTCAAAAACAGTATGCTAAGGAGAAGCAGCCAGACACGGGACTGCAATCATATGACCCTAGTTATATGAAATTGTTCATCCAGACAGAAAGCAATGCAGTGGATTGCCCGGGGCAGGAGGTGGGAGCAGGGATTAACTACAAAACAGTCTCCAGGAAATTCTGGGGGCTGATGTAAAACTAGTTGGTGGTGATGGTTACATAACTCTAAATACATTTAAAATCACTGAGTTATATACTTATATATGAATTTTATCATATGTAAATTATAACTCACTCAAAGTTTACAAAATATATAAATAAGGCTCATGGAAAATGTAAATTAAGAAAAAACCGACTAGCCAGGAGGAAAAATGATGGGCCGCACATACACAGGCCCTCAGGCCCCAGTAACTGTTCTCTGTAACCCTGACTCGGAGTTTCTTGGTAGCCAAGTGACTAGAGAAGTACTGCCCCCTGGAAGGGGAGGCCTACTTAATTTCTTAAGAAATGCTGGGCCAGGTGCCATGGCTCATGCCTGCAATCCCAGCACTTTGGGAGGCCAAGGCAGGAGGACTGCTTGAGCCCAGGAGCTCAAGACCAGCCTGGACAACATGGCAAGATTCCATCTCTACAAAACTTTAAACAGAAAATGAGACTCCAGCCTGGGTGACAGAGCAAGACTCCGTCTCAAAAAAAAAAAAAAAAAAAAAGAAAAGAAAATGAGCTGGGCATGGTAGTGCACACCTGTAGTCCCAGCTACTCAGGAGGCTGAGGTAGGAGGATTGTTTGGGCCCAGGAGGTGGAGGCTGCAGTAAGCTGAGATGGCACTGCTGCACTCCAGCCTGGGTGACAGAGCAAGACCTGTCTCAAAAAAAAAAAAAAAAAGCAAAGCTATTCTTAGCTTTCAATTTCAAGAACGATTTCTCAGGTGTGGTCTCACCCAGACACTAGAGAAAAAGTATGAATAGTGTCTTTTAACAGTATCCAAGCCAGGCGAGATGGCTCACACCTGTAATCCCAGCACTTTGGGAAACCGAGGCAGGTGGGTCACCTGGAGCAAACTACTGAGGTCAGGAGTTTGAGACCAGCCTGGCCAACATGGTGAAACCCCGTCTCTACTAAAATACAAAAATTAGCTGGGCATGGGGGTACAGGCCTGTAATCCCACCTACTCGGGAGGCTGAGGCATGAGAATAACTTGAACCCGGGAGGTGCAGGTTGCAGTGAACCAAGATCACACCACTGGGCCGGGCGCGGTGGCTCAGCTGTATCCAGACTTGGGAGGCGAGGGGGGATCAAGGTCAGGAGATGAGACAAGTGAACCGTCTTACTAAAAATACAAAAAATTAGCCGGGCGCGGTGGGGGCGCTGTAGTCCAGCTATCAGGAGGCTGAGGCAGGAGAATGGCGGGAACCGGGAGGGAGCTTGCAGTGAGCGAGATGGTGCCACTGCCTCCAGCTGGGCAACAGCGTGAGACTTCGTCTCAAAAAAAAAAAAAAAAAAAAAAAAAAAAAAGATCACACCACTGCACTGCACTCCAGTCTAGGAGACAGAATGAGACTCTGTCTCAAAAAAAAAAAAAAAAAAAAGTATCCTATGACAAAAGCAATAATGGGCTCCATAAACTAGTTTCGCTTAATGTTCCTTGATAAAGGCCACAAATATACCAGAACGCAGCTCAGAGAAGGCATTTCTGCCGAGGCTAAGAACATGTGACCCAAGCTTGTCGCTTTCCGAATGCCCAGCTGTATTCAAAAATAAATCCTACAATAGTTAGTGAACTGGATGGAGTGCACAGAGGCCTTTGGAAAAATCCTCCATAAATATGATTTATTTCAGTAGACTTGCAATGAGTTGGTAATTATTATGCGAGTGTTTTTTTCCCCAGGTGGGGAAAGAGCTGGAGTGTGCCAGGGTTCCGTGTTGCTAATTAAGGGCATATCCCTCTGCAGAGCTATGGGAATGTATACAAGGGGTGTGTTCCTGAAGAATTCACAGAACTTGAGATGCGAAGTCGGAGAGCTGTGAGTTCCAATTCTGCTTATTAAGCAAGAGTTTGGTGTTTTGGGTTTTGTTGTTTTCTCTTGCTTTTAAAAAGTCATAGCTGAGTACCGTAGTTCATGCCTATAATCCCAGCACTTTGGGAGGCTGATACGGGAGGATGACTTGAGCCCAGGAGTTAGGGACCAGCCAGAGCTTGGAAGATAAACCTGGCAGCTCCCGAGGCCAGCCCTGCCTCCACTGTGCCAGTGTTCCTCCAGCCCAGGCTGGTGACTCAGGCCAGCGTTGGAAGGCCCACCAGGAGAGGACTCCACCTACCATAGTGTGACCCTGTCTCTACAAAAAACACAAAAATTTAAAAATTAGCTGGATGTGGTGGCATGCACCCATAGTCCCAGCTACTCAGGAGGCTGAGGCGAGAGGATCACTTGAGCCCAGGTGGTTGAGGCTGCAGTGAGCCATGATCGCCCACTGCACTCCAGCCTGGGCGACAAAGCGAGACCTTGTCTCAGAAAAAAAAAAAAAAAAAAATCACATAATTCAAATCTATGTTAAATGACACCTGTCCTTTAGTGATCAAAGAAGCAGAAAGTCCAGGTCCGTCTGTGTTCTGGGTGGGCTCGTTCCCTTGTAGAAATGTCCCTCTGTGCCGGCAACAGGATATGGTTGCCATTCAGCTCCTGGCCAGCCTGGGGCATAGGTCAATGTCATGGATTTGTGGCTTTACACTGCTGCAATTTTTCAGTTCTTTGCTAATCTGCATTCGCTTTTGAGCTGTGTAAATTGCAGAAGAAGAGGGAAGTCGTTGTTTGAAATAAGAATGGAACTATTATCAGCAAATACTCTGGGCACGTACTATACAGTTAGCCCTTCACGTGTATTAACAAGTTCATCCTCACAGCCCTGTGTGGTCTTGGGGAGGGCACAAGTACATACATAAATCATGTGGCAGGGAGTCAGGCTTTGGATCAAAGTGGTACTTACACAGACGGCCTCAAACACGTGAAAGACGCTATAAACCGGCAAGACCTGGCTCACCAGGGCAATGACATCTCTGCAGAAGAAATGAGAAAGCATTAAGACAGACGTATCCTTTCAGACCCGTTTATATCCCTTCTATTCCACACCCCACCCCCACAAGAAAAAGCTTTGGAATAGAGGTAGATCCCCCACACAAATGTTTTCTGTGTCTGTGGGTCACACCTAAACCTTCAGCAAAGCCCCCACAATTTTGGACTGCCCTTCAGTTAGCCTCTTGTCTGTGGACAGGCACTAAAGGCCTAGGGTGGACAGACAGAGGTTGGCTTCCTCTCAGTGACAGCCAAGCCTGGGCTCTTCCTACTTCCTTTGGGCCGAGCACTGAGCCAGGCCTGTGAAAAATCTGAGGACAGGCTGGGAACCACTTTGACATTTTCCAAAAGTCAGCATAGAAGACTGATTACCTACTCATCACTGGTAAAAATACGCCCCAGCTGATTTTTCAGGATGCTTATCACGGTGCCCAGGAGCACGGAAATGCCAACTGCAAGAGACAAAAGGTGCAGCAATGACAGCTCCCGCCCTCTGCAACCAGGTGCCTTTTGTCACGGGCCCTGATGTCCCCTGCATCTGAGGCGTTCATTTGGGCTAGACGGTCTTGTAGGAAGGGCAGAGTGGAAGATGCTTCCACTCCAGTGGTTCTCAGAGTGGGCGGCACATAGATCCAGCAGCAACGTCACCCGGGAACTTGCTAGAAACAGATTCTCAGACCCTGCCTCCGACCTACTGAATCAAAGCCTGCTGGTGAGGCCCAGCAATCTGTGACCAGCCCTCTCAGGGATTCCGGCGCAGGCTACAGCCTGAGAACCACTACAGGGAAGCCCGTCTGAGCCTCCCAGTCTCAGAAAGCACAGCCACGATGTCGGAAGACACGAGTGGCTCCTTCTCAAGAGTGGGTTGGCAGCCGCCGGGCTCATGGGGGTGCCGGGAGGGCCAGGCTTGCAAAAGGACTCTGGACAGCTGGAAGGAGAGTGCTGGGCAGGAAGGGCCTTCAAAGAGTCAGGCTTTTCTCTAAGGTAAGTGGTAGAAGCCAGCTGTCTCCAGCAGAGTCCCACAGTCACAGCGGCAGGGAAGGCGTGAGTAGGGATGGGGAGAAGGTGGTGGGAGGATCGCTTGCTGCTCAGAGGGAGGCAGCTGTCAGCTTAGCAGCAGAGGCTGGCCTGGGTCAGATGGCAGGTCCAGCAGGCTTGGAAGATAAACCTGGTGGCTCCCAAGGCCAGCGCTGCCTCTACCATGCCAGCCTTCCTCTGGCCCGGGCTGGTGACTCAGGCCAATGTTCAGTGGCCCTACCAGGAGAGGATTCCACCTACCTATGCAGAGCACGCCCGAGACGGCCGAGCGCTTGGCCTGCACAGTGTCCGCAGCCCCCAGAGCCATCCCCACTCGGACACAGACCCCGATGCTGAGCCCCAAGGGAATCTGGGATCAAAGATAAGAAAGCACTGTCAGTGGGCCCACCCTCCAACCCCTGAAGTCCTGAGCCAGCCTGGGCCAAGAGGGACGGGAGCGGGAAGGCAGGGCAGATCTCAGGCATGCAGCATAAGAGGTATGTCATATTCTTGCTGCTGACAATGAGGCCGGGAGAGCTGGGGCTGGGAGAAGGGTGGGGGTACCCCTCCATGAGCCAACCAGTCCCACCACCACCTGCGCCATCAGAGGCAGCACAGGCAGGCGGGCCTTGCAACCGAAATCACTGTGTTGTCAAAAGCAAATGAGTAAACAGATTTTAAAGAGGCGACTGTGGTCTTAGTCCCGGAAAAGCTCCCTGTAAGAAAAAAGAGATTTCAGCAGAAACCATTTGTAAAAATAAGAATCTGTAAATTGGTTTTGTAATGTAGATTTCTGTGACTCCTTTGCTTAACGCTGGGGTCAAGGATAACATGTAGATGCGCACCGGAGTGACGTGGGCTGCGTAAGCAAGATGATGGCTGTGTCTCTGTGGGGAGTAGAGGGGAGGTGGGGGCTGTGGTGGAGGAGAGCCCATGGCCCTGGTGGGGACGCTGTCACCCAGCGCTGGCCGACTGCAGGGTGCAGGAATGTGGGCCACTGCTCAATGGAATGTGCCTTTTTTTTTTTTTTTTTTTTTTTTGAGACAGAGTCTCACTCTGTTGCCCAGGCTTGAGTGCAGGGGCATGATCTCGGCTCACTGCAACCTCCACCTCCTGGGTTAAAGCGAATCTCCTGCCTCAGCCTCCCAAGTGGCTGGGACTACAGGCCTGTGCCACCACACCCGGCTAACTTCTTATATTTTTAGTAGAGATGGGGTTTCACCATATTGGCCAGGCTGGTCTTGAACTCCTGGCCTTGTGATCCGCCCCACCTCAGCCTCCCAAAGTACTGGGATTACAGGCACGAGCCACCGCACCCGGCCTGGAATGTGCATTTTTTAAAGAAAATTCAAAAATAAGATTCTGATGTGAAATCTCCCAATTTTAAAATAATGCTAATTACTTTTTAAAATTCCAACATCTGTGGGTGAAATATCACCCTTGGTGGACAGGTTGTGGGCACCTGTGTGTGAGCCCTGGCGTACGCTGAGCAGGGCCTGGACCTGGTGGGCACGAGAGGCCCAGGGCGGTCCCTTAGGAGACAGAGACAGCCTCAGGTGACAGCCTGCCCCCCTCCTATGACACCTCCAGCCGTCAGGTGGGGGATCTGGGGAAGACACCCCTTCAGGAGCCTTACCATGTAGGTCACAGTGGTCACCTCGTAGATGACAGCCTGGGCGGAGAGATCCACCACGCTGAGCAGCCCTGGAGGAGAGGCCTGCCGTGAGCCCAGCCCACAGCCCCAGACACCCAGACCCTGCACCAACAGGACGCTGCTCCACTTTGGGGACTCGTGCAATTTTTGTTTTTTTTCCTTGAGACAGAGTCTCACTCTGTAGCCCAAGCTGGAGTGTGATGGTGCAATTACAGCTCACTGCAGCCTCCACCTCCTGGCTTAGGTGATCCTCCCACCTCAGGCCCCCAGGTCGCTGAGACTACAGGTGGTGCCATCACACCCAGCTAATTTTTGTATTTTTTGTAGAAACAGAGTTCCACCATGTTGGCCAGGCTGGTCTCAAACTCCTGGCCTCAAGTGATCCACCCGCCTCGGCCTTTCAAAGTGCTGGGATTACCGGCGTGAGTCACTGAGCCCGGCTGATTTTGAAGGGCAGATTGGTAACAGTGACAACAAAAAGACATTCCTGCCTGGCCTTCAGCCCGTTAGGAAAATTCTGCCCAGTGCCCCGGAGGCCCCTGCAGGCTTCCCTGTGTGGTCTGTCTTTTCAGATGAACTCAGTGTGAGGGAGGAGACAGAGCACGGGACCAGGGTCCGGCAACTCGAGTTCGGTTCTCGGCCCTCCGCTGATTTTCTATTTGTGGAGTTGCTCTGTTCTTGTGCCCCATTTTCTCATCCGCAAATGCGGGGCAGGGCAGGGGTTCTCATATTCAGGCTGCCTGGAGTCCTCACTTCACCGAGTGCTCTAATGAGCACACACAAGGCAGCAGGTGGGAGCCTCATACTGGCAAGCCCGGGCCTCTGCTTACACCCGCAAACCAGCTCAATCTGTCACTCCTCTGTGCCTCGGACACCTCCCACTGGCACCTGCTCCACCTGGCCCGTGCTGGGATTCAGGCACGAAAGGCCCAGGCCTGCCTCCTGGACGCTCACAGCCTAATGGAGAGGCAGACCACAACAGACGGATCAGCCCCACTGGGCAGTGGTGCTCTCTGGGTCCGTGCCTGAGGGCCTGGCCAGTGAAGTCGGAAGGGGGCTGGTGAGCTGCCATCCTGGGGAGGGGGCTTCTGGGCTGGGTGAGCCGCCCACACGCCATTGCGCCCCCCCATGCTCTCCCACGTACCCATGAGGAAGCTCCCGATCTCATAGGCCCACCACTCAACACAGATCATGAGCATGCTGGGGACAGCTAGGGAGAAGAAGGGGCCCCAGTCCTGCAGGCACTGGCTGGACCAACCTGGAAACAGAGGCCCCGTGAGCTGACATCCTGCCTGGCCTGCCCACCCCATTCCTGCTCCCCACAGCCAGGAGGCCCCTAAACAGCTTCGGCTGTTCCTGCTCTGGGGCTTAGCAGGCCCAGGCACTTCGCGTTTTGTAGAGGGAATGCGGCTGGTCTAGAGCTGGCGTTGGGGCCCGTGGAGGAGGAGGATGCAGGAACAGGGCACCAGGCTCACCTGGCCGGTCCACGGGATGGCCCCAGGGCCCAGGGCGTGGATGTTGGTCCCCACTCCACCCTCAACAGTGTGGGATCTTGAGCAACTACCCACCACTCCGCAGGCTCCATTTCCATCTGAAAACCCCAGACCTTGTATCTGCTCTGCCTCCCTGGGGAGTTTTCAGGGGCGGCATGAGATCAAGGATACTGAAGGGAAACACACCGCAGGTGCGCCGGGCAAGCTTGGAAAGGGCTCAGCCAGAGCCCTGCCCCACGTGAGGCCCCAGGGGCCTGCAGAGCTGTTCCTGAAATATCTGGCAAGAGGAGGTCCTTGTTGTATGGGATTGGCTCTCAAGAGGCAGAAAAGCACGGGCAGGCCCCTACACGCCTGGTGTTTCAGCAAATTACTTAACCTCCATCTGTCATAATCTCCTCTTTGTAAGATGGGGCTAATGAGGTGGGGTGAGGTTTAAATGAATTCAGGAATGTCGGGCACCCCACGCACTGCTGACGCCTGGTATTCCATGGGTGTCGCTGCTCTCACCGCCATCCTGAGAGCTGGGGCTGGGCAAGAAAGCTCCCTGGGCCAGGCTTCTATGATGCAGCAGGACTCTGCATCGTGACACCTTGGATGGAGGGACTCCGGGCCCTTGGGGCTGGGGAAGCAAAGGGGGAGGAGGGGGCCGTGCAGGGTCCTGCACCTCCTCCAACAGGCTCCACTGCACCCTCTGCCTGCAGACCGCCCTGCCCCAAGGCCTGGGCAGCTGTGCCGCTGGCCTGCTCAGCCTCCCAGAGCAGGCCAGGCCTCCCACCTGCCCATGTCTCCAGGTGCAGCTTCTTCAGCACAATGTAGAGAAGGAGGAAGACGGTCTGTGTGAACTGGGAGATGATGTTGGCATAGGCAGAGCCCCTGGGAAAGGAGAGAGAACAGGGCTGGGACTGATGCCAACTCTGCCACTGCCCTGCCTGAGAGAGAGGTTGCTCTGGCGGCCAACCCGTGTGGGGCAGGCATGGCTCTGCTCTACTCCCATCCTGGGATCAGACTCAACCAGGGCCCACATGCACCTCTGGCCATGGTGGCTCTTCCCAGGCAGCCACAACTACAATGTCCTGGGGGCCACCCTGCCAGTGCCCACTTCGCCTCTGCTGGTGGGCTTGGGCAGGAGTGAAGAGTGGCTGTCCTCTCACCCGATCAGGCCTCAAACTGAGGTCCCCAAGGGACCATCAGGCCCCTCCAACTCCCCATAACCCTCCACTTCAGGATGGCACAGGCAGGGCCAGGATGGTGACTGATCTGTCTCCAGCAGGGGTGGGGAACTCGGTGGGCAGTGTCCCCTGACTAGGCCCCACCAAACCCTGGGCTCACCTGATCCCCAGGTTCAGCACAGAAACCAGGACATAGTTGGCCACACCGTTGACACAGTTGCCCACCACACCACTGAGGACTTGGGGCCAGGTGATCTTCTGAAAATAAATGAAAACTGGCCCTGCTGAGGTGTGAGTGGGATGGATGGAGGATGGACAAACCCAGGGTTTGGAATGGGGACTCCTCCTCCTGCCCCTTCAGCCATCCCTGTTCGGGAGTTGGCAGAGGCGGGGACGCACAGCTTCTCACCTGCCTCTGTGCGGGAGGTCAGGACGTGGCAGGTGGGTTGGAAGCAACCCCTTTCAGAAGCCGGTTCACAGAGGGTGGAGAGAAGGGGAAAGCCCCAGGCCCCCTCCCACTGGAATAGGGCAGTGTGCTGGGAGAAGGGCCTCCCCGCACACCAAATACCTGTACCTGATTTTGCAAATATTTTGCCAGCAGATTGTAAAGAAAAATCACCTGTATGAAGAGCAAGCCCAAACAAATCAACAACAATGACCAAAACCCACCAAATGAGCTTTAACAGACATTCCTTTCCAGGACATAGTACCCTAGATTGGGGCAATGACTTCATCAAAGTATGTCTGGGGCCTCTCAGGTGCGGCCAAAGCCTACCCAGCCACCTGGACTCGTGCTTGGGCCCGGCCTATGGGAGAGGCCCCCTCAGGGCTCCCTTCTGCCACGGGGGAGACGAGCAGGCGTGCTTTGGCTCTGAGAGAGTACCCTTTGCACACATGCTCATGGTGCACAGCGCCTGGTAGGCCTTCTGGCTGCTAAGCCAGGCCCCCATCACCTTAGGAAGGTGAGAAGTGACCCAAGGGCCTGTTCACAGAAGGGGCTACTTTGGCTCTGGCCTTAGAGACAGGATTTGAAGGCGTGACCTCGGACGAGGGAATGGCAGGTACTGAGACATGCTGGCCGCAAGCAGCCTAGGCTAAGCAGGTTCAAGACCCTACGGGGGCGGCAGGCCCTTCCCTGGCCGGGGAGGACCGCAGGGGAGTGTGCGTTGCAGCGTGTGTGTTGGGGACACTTTATCTACCCTTTCTCTCCTTTCTTAAGGGGAATAGAATGGGCATCAACTGAAACCTAACCCAGGGCCCTGTCCCATTCCTTCCTGTAGCTCTCCACTTCTTTTCAGCATAGTGTACTGATACGAGTACAGAGCTGGAATAGACTGGGTTCGATTCCTGGCTCTGCCTCTTCAGAGATGTGTGATCTTGGGCAAGTTACTTAACCTCATACTTACAGATGAGTTTGTCTCCTCATCTGTAATGGGGATAATAATAGTGCGTGTGTGTACTTAATATACACTTAATATTTTACATACATACATATTGCAAAGTTAATATTGCAAAGTGCTTACAAAATGATACATGGGACATTTTAAGCATTCCAAGTGTTAGCCACGCCCTATGTTAGTCTTATTTGTCACTATTATTGGTAGTTAACTTTTGCAGCTGCATTTTATGGAAGGGCCTTGGCTTACTGACAAGACACCACAGTGACATCTTTATAGGGCATTTCCCCCGACCCAGCCCCAGTAGTCCTGGTTGACAACATGCCATCACTTTTGTCCGAAAAGCCAAAGTATGGATTATATGGAAGACTCAGAGAAGAGCAGTCCTATAAGGGGGTTTCCATATACCGGAAGAAATCTGTAACCAACTAGGCCCCAAAAAGGTCATGGCACTGGCCTGGCAGAGAGGTGGGCGTGGCTGGGTCTGCTGGGACTGCACGCTGTTCAGGCCTCCCACCTTCACCCTGACCTCTTCCCTGCCCAGCTCCCTTGCCCACAATTCTCCGCCTGGTGCCATGGAGGCTACACTGTCAGAAAGTGAGCTCAGCCTGGTAGGGCCATCCAGCACACAGAACTGGCAGTCGTAACAGGCATCACCAACCTGCAAGTCAAACAGTGAAGCACTGGGCTGCAGAAGAGGCATAGAGATCCCCGGGTCGCTGGACATACAGACACTGACCCAGATAGATGCACTGCTGATTCATTTAGTATTTAACAAATCAATGCAGAAGGGAGAGAATATGCAATAAATGGTGTTCAAAACATTTTTAGTTGGATTAATATCTTAAATGTAAAAATAGAAACCCTGGAAGAGTCCAAAAAAGTATAAGCAAATGTGTATATAATCTTGCAGTGGGTTAAGTCTTTTTTTTTTTTTTTTTTTGAAACAGAGTTTCACTTTTGTCACCCGGGCTAGAGGGCAGTGACATGATCTCGGCTCACTGCAACCTCCACCTCCCGGAGGTTGAAATGGGATCAATATGTGTATATTGGGTTATAATATGCTTTCTCCCTTTAAAATATGTCATTAGTCTCTTTGTAGGACTGAATAACCTTCCACAATATCAATTCCAAAGGTTATCTGGTACCCATAGTTAGGCCATACTTCTCTTCTGTCAATCATCCTCATGGCCCAGCAGGAAGTCACAGCAGGATAGGGTGGGAAAGCAAAAAGCCAGAATTTAGGAGAATGGGATTCCATGCTCAGCAAACAGGGCACCTACCGGAAGTCCTGGAATGAAAATCATGACATAGTCCTCGGTCAACCTGCAAGAGAGGGAGAAGCTCCGGAGCTGACCAGGCTGTGGCCTGGGGAGACAGGGCCCTCTCCCCTGTGTCCTCCAGGACAGGGTGCTCAGCCGCCGTCCCAGGGTCTCCGCCAGGACTATGAAACCTCAGCATCAGGGACTGCTGCTTCCAGATGCTAAGCAGGTGCCAGGAGGGGCAGCTGAAGCACCCAGACGCCCAGGCCTCAGGACCAGGGAACTTCAATTCAGAATAACGTGGTTTGTAAGAAAAAACGGTTATATCTTAAAAAGCAATAATCAAATGAAATGTACATTATATAAATGAACAAGGCATCCCTAAGACAGGGCATCTCTAAATTTCATAATAAACTATAGGATGGGTACAGTCGCTCACGCCTGTAATCCCAGCACTTTGGGAGGCCGAGGCGGTGGATCACGAGGTCAGGAGATAAAACCATCCTGGCCAACATAGTGAAACCCCGTTTCTACTAAAAATACAAAAATTAGCCGGGTGTGGTGGCGCATGCCTGTAGTCCCAGCTACTCAGGAGGCGGAGGCAGGAGAATCACTTGAACCCGAGAGGTGGAGGTTGCAGTGAGTCAAGATCGCACCACTGCACTCCAGCCTGGGCGACAGAGCGAGACTTTGTCTCAAATCATCATCATCATCATCTATAATTCATCAGAAAGTGGTTGTCATCTTTCTCCTTTTTGGAATATGGGAAAACGCACACACTTCATTTCTCCAAAAGCATCTGTAAAGCTCCAACTGTGTCCGGGCACACAAATGCAAATAAAATGCGAATCCCAAATTGTTTCTCGCCTTGCCTCCTTAATTAAAACTGGGCGTTTGTCCGCCACTGTCCCCTGCTGGTCACTGCTGGAGCTGCAGCCGTGGGGAGAATCCCCAAACCAAAGCCTTGAAGGTACCCACAGGCCAAGGGCACTGTGAGCACTGGTGGCCTAGAGAAGCATGGGGTCTGAGGGCTGAGCTGCTTCAGGGTTTCCCTCGGCGGCCTGGGTTTTCCAGGAGCCTCTGGGTCTCTGGCAAGTCCCATCTCCCCAGCCGGAGCCCAGCGCACCTGGACACGTCCGGGTCCTGCCTGAAGAGCAGCAGGAGGTGCTGGGTGTTGAGGAAGAGCGCCCAGCAAGGGAGGCAGCAGAGGAGCAGGACCAGCGCGCCCCGCTGCAGGATCACGCCCACGTGCTTCTTGTTGGGGCTGCCGAAGCTCTGCAACACAGCCCGCCCCGCGTCAGCCCTTTCCACTGCCCCGGACATTCCTAAACCCCGCGCAGGGAGCGGACTGTCAGCAGCGCCAGCGGTGTGTGGCGGAGCCTGCGGCCTCTGGTGACCGCAGCCCGGCGCCCGCAGCCTGTAACGGCACAGGGGCCTTCCTGAGCCTGGGCCCCCCACTGTCTCCAGTGTTCTTCCAAAGCTCGAAGGAGGACGAGCTTTGGGGGGCTTCATCATATGTCGCGGAAGGGATAAGTGGAGCCAGGACCAAGCCCAGGTCCACCGTGAGGCTAGAACCCCCAGGGAGAGGTGAGGCCTTGCTGCTTTGTGACCCCACGGCCACCTGGGCAGCCCCTGCTGGACTGCAGGCCCCTGCAAGCAGGGAGGTTCCTTCTGTGTCCCCTTGGCCTTTGACACATGCCTGCATGTAGGCAGCCGAACTTAGGAGTGAGGCTGGGGAACTGGTTGTCTTTCTCTACTTGGTGACCTCCTCTGGGGACAAGAGGTCAGAGAACTGTCTCCACCGTCTCCACCCCTTTCTCCTGGCCCAGACTCTTTCAAAGGGGAGGGTCTGTTTCCCTGACAGCCTGTGGTCCTTGGAGGTGGGGCAGGGGCAGCTGACCCCAGGGCCCATCACTCCCAGATCACCTGGGTACATCCCTTCCACCTGCCATCTCCATGGCACCTGTGGGATTGGCTCTGCCCTTGCCTAGCTTCCTGCCCAGCTCCGGGAGGCCACCCACCTGAGACATCAAGGTGTCACATGCCGACGACAAACCAACTCCTACAGAAACTCCGCAGACATTGACAAACTGGTGCCAGACACAGGAGGAAACAAGAGCTTGTCAGGCGAGGCCTGAAGAGAGGCCCCTGCGTCTGGGCTGAGCCGGGGTGGGGAAATGCTGCCCATCAGGCAGCGGTGGCAGAGGTGGCTCTGCTCCGCAGCCTCACGTGCTGTGTGCCCCAGGGCGAGACTGCCTCCATCTCCGGCCCTCAGTTTCCACCTGTGAAGGCGGCTGTCCAGCCACGTGGGCTGTGTCTTCCCATCCCTGACCAGCCACCCAAGACGGGCCCACCCGGGAACCCGGTGGAAAAGCCTGGCGAGAGAATGTCCCTGCTCTGGGCCACGCTGGGTACTCACGGCCACCGCAAGGGTCACCGATGCCAGCTCCACCTTGCCCAGGTGCCCACAGAACACAGTGCTCACGATGTAGATCATGAAAGTCAGCATCTGGAACAGGAACTGGAGGACAGCGGCCGGGTCAGACCTGGGGCCACAGGTGCCCACACAGCCCAGCCCTGCAAGACAGGCCTCTCCAGCTTTGAGGGCCCCGCACCAGTGCCCCGAGAGGTCACCTACGCCCGGGGAAGCCAGGGCCGGAGGTCGGGTGGCTTGAGCCCAGCTCCCATTCTGTCTTCTGCAGCCACAGTCACCCCTGGCCTCCATGTCCCTTCCCAGAAGGGTCAGTGCACGAGAGACACCCAGCGCAGTGCCTGGCGCCCTGAGCTTGACCCAAGTGTCTGATACTGATACTGCCATTCCTATGATAACAATAATTTGGTAAGGCCGCACAACCCAAAAAAGGAGGAGAATTAAATACACCAAAATCTTAGTAATGGCTATTTCCAAGCACTAGGATTTGAGTTAAACTTCTTTCTTCTTTATAACTTTCAGTTTTTTCTGAAAGTTTTACAGGAAGTGCAAATCCATTACTCCTTTTTTTTTTTTTTTTTTTTTTTGAGACGGAGTTTCGCCGTTGTTGCCCAGGCTGGAGTGCAGTGGCGCGATCTCGGCTCGCTGCAACCTACCCGTCCCGGGTTCAAGCGATTCTCCTGCCTCTATCTCCCGAGTACCTGGAATTACAGGTGCCCGCCACCATGCCTGGTTAATTTTTGTATGTTTAGTAGAGTCAGGGGTTTCTCCATGTTGGCCAGGCTGGTCTCCAACTCCTGACCTCAGGTGATCCTCCCTCCTCGGCCTCCCAAAGTGCTTAGATAACAGGCATGAGGCACCGCGCCCAGTCCATTACTCTTTGTGGTCAGGAAAAAAAAAATGTATATAAAACAATTTCCCCTTTGGAAATGAAATGGGCAGCCGGCCCCTTCTTCCCGCCTGCGAAGGTGCTGCAGGTTTCACGCATCTCTGGGCTGCATTTGTCCTGGAGCCATCTTCCAACTCAGGCTTTTGTGGGTTTCCAGCTGAGGCACACCCACCCCTTCCGTGTGGGGGCTGCCTGCTGCTGAGCAATGTCAGGCCCCACTGCCACTGGGGATTGTCCAGGGACAGCCTCCAAGAGCCGTCCTGCTGTCCCCAGACCCTAGACCTGGCAGTCAGCATGGGCAGTTTCTGGAGAAAATGTGAGCACATTTCTGGATCCTGCCTGCAAGGCAGACACCCTCAGCCTCTCAGCTTCCTCCACTCCCTGCCTGCCCCCCAGCTCCTCCTCCTTACCAGGGGTCCAGAAAGGGCAAAGAGAGTCCACATCTCAGCCCCAAAGCCTCTGGGAACCAGCCTGCTGAGGGCAGGACAGCAGCCCCCGTGGTCCGGGGGCACTGTGTCCTGGAGGCTGTCCATTCCTGGCCGGGCGCTGGACACCCTGCACGCCTGAGCGCCCGCACGGCCAGCTTTGTCCAGCGAGTTGTCCCCTGCCTGGGCAACCCGTGTCAGTACAGCTTGGCTAATGAGTAAGGGGCAGGAGGAGGGGCCACCATGGCAACTTGTGGGATGAGCCCTGCCTCCCAGGGCACTGAGGCCCTGCTGCCCAGCCCACTGCCCCAGCCACTGGGGAGGACAGGATAGAGGCCTGGGCTCCTGGGAGTCACCCAGACGGCTGCCTGTTGTGTCTGGTCTCCCAGAGGGATTGGCAGTAAGGCCTCAGCAGGAGAAGGTCCAGGGCTGCCGGCAGTGGCTGTGGGAGGTGTGCTGAGGCCAGGACAGGGCAGCCTGGCTGGGGCAGCTGAGCCACTGGCGTCCTGTACCCAGGTGTGATGGTGCCCACAATGACTCCCATTTTTCAGAGGAATTGGTGGCCTGCCCGAAGTCACACAGCAGGTAGTGGCAGAGCCTGAACAGCCCCCAGCCCTGCCTTTCCCTGGGAGAGGGCAGCTTCCCAAGAGACAAGGGTGTGGCAAACCCCGTGGCAGTGTGGTTCCTAGCCTTTCTTGCTGGAGGGGCCTGGGCCTGTGCCTGGGGATGGGGATGGCAGTTAGGACACCTTGGCAGAGTCCCAAGCCCCCCACTGCCCGTCACCCCTTTCAGCAGCATATCTGAGAGCTGGGGGTGGCATTGCTTGGGAAAGCAGCTCACTATGCACGCCAGTCATTGCGCCCAGCAAGGCTGTGACTCGGTGTCCCACCAGGGTCCTCCGTCACCCTCCCAAACAGCCCTCTCTGCTTTTCCTTGCTTAGATGGCCTGTGACTCCCCCCTCAACCTGCCCCAAGACTGCAGGGCAGTGGGAACCAAGAGAGGCATCTAAGGATTGCACCAGTCACCTAGCCCAGTCCTGGATCAGGCTTTTGGGTGTGGGTTCAGCCCAGGAGAAGTGAGCGAAGGGGCAAGGGGGGCAGGAAGATGGCAGGCAGGCCAGCGGCTGTGGGAGGCCTGAAGATACCCCAAAGGCCCCACTTGGTTCCCATGTCCATCCCTGCATCGGAGGAGTGACCGGTGGGATTCTGAGATGCAGCCCCCAGAGCCACGAGGAGGAAGGAGCAGACCCTGAAGGAGAGGAGGCAAGACAAATACAAAAAAAGGGGTGCACTACACCCATGGGCCACCCCGAACATAGGCACAGCCCCACCCCAGTCAACATGCAGCCTTCTTTTTTGACACAGAATTCTGAAACGCTCCACTGGAAGCACCTGCATCAGGATCACCTCGGAGGTCACGTTCCTGCCCTTGTTCTGATGGCTCCTATCATGGCACTCTCCAACTTGTGCACCAGATAGTACCTTTACCACCTGCCTAGAGGAAAGAAGACATTTGATCACCGTCGTGATTGTGATGATGACACCAAACGGGAGGAAGTACAGGTGAAAGCTACAGCCCCACAGGCCAGGCTATAGTTAGTATGTCTGACTTCCCTCCTCCAACACCTTCACATCCTTCTCACCTTTGGCCAGTTCTCATGGTCAGCCTACATCTTCCAAAAGGGCAGCCGCAAATCCTCCTGTATCCAGGGGACCTGGGCCTGGGGTCTCTGTTATGTGAAACCAGCTGCTTCCAGCTGACAGGGCCTCTGGGGAGAGCAGTCACTTGCTGGCCTTGGCCTGTCACCTCCTGTCACAGCATTGCAGTGAGCCCTGTGGCCAGAAACAATACTTCTTGGGAGCCCGTAGTGATGGAGATGTTTGGGAGCCCACATGTGGAGGTATAGGCAGAAGAGTCCATCTCACTCCAGGTCACTTTTTTTTTTTTTTTTTTTTTTTTTTTTTTTTTTGAGACGGAGTCTCGCTCTGTCGCCCAGGCTGGAGTGCACTGGCCGGATCTCGGCTCACTGCAAGCTCCGCCTCCCGGGTTCCCACCATTCTCCTGCCTCAGCCTCCCGAGTAGCTGGGACTACAGGCACCGCCACCTCGCCCGGCTAATTTTTTGTATTTTTTTAGTAGAGACGGGGTTTCACCGTGTTAGCCAGGATGGGCTCGACCTCCTGACCTCGTGATCCGCCCGTCTCGGCCTCCCAAAGTGCTGGGATTACAGGCTTGAGCCACCACGCCCGGCTCCAGGTCACTTTTAATGAGGACAGCTGGCTCCGTTGCCCCACCAAGCTGGAATATGTTCAGTGCAGACGCCCCGCCATTAGCTTGGCGACATCAGGCTTTACCCAGAGCTGATTGGCGTTCAGCACTCAGCTGCACAGGACATCTTCCCGAGGGCCAGTCCCAGGCCGAGCATCTCCAAAATCCCTTCTCAGGAACATTCCCAGGATTGTTGTGATAGGAGCCAATGCATTCCCACATTCTCTCTGGGGAGACAGTCCCCTCCCACCTCCTCTCAGAATTTCAATCCCCAGGCCCCAGTGGGTTTGACCCCGGGGAGGAGCAAGGGCGATTACTGACTCCACTGCCATGCGTTGGCCGCCCCAGGCAAAGGGGGTGCAGGCGGAGTGTGGGGTGGGGGGAGCCAACTCCTCCAGGTGTGGAGTGTCAGAGCTCCACGACTCCTCCATAGTCTCCCGGCAATGCCTTCAGGCCCTCCTTTTGTGGTGGTAACTGTAGACTCAGCAGCACCGCCCTGCAGCCACCTGCAGACTCAGCTCTGAGTTGGGTTTTCCGGGATTCCGCCCTGGAACCTGAGACACTTTGAGCGGAGCTGCAGATGGCCCCTGTGCGCCATCCTGTGGCTGGGAGGGCAGATCTCCGAGACCGCAGCCTCTGCCCTCTCCAGAGCTTCCAATGCTGTCAGGAGCAACACGCCACCCTTCAGTCCTGCATCTTCTGTGGTCCCAGATACTGCACACAAGAGATGGATCAGCAGCTCACTCTTGGGAACAGGGCTGCCAATCCCCTAGAATATGCAAGCAAGTCCCGGCAATGCTGGACCCTTTCCCTTCTCAGCTGATCACTTGTTTCCAAGGCCCTTATTTCCTGAGGCACGTGGCCTATGACATCCTCCTGATGCCAGTTGCTGGGTCAGCCACGGTTCTCTGATGGAAACAGTAGAAACGAACTGGGATCGTGCCAGCAGATGGAGGAAGGGAGGAAGCGGGAGAGGGGATTGTTATTGCCAGGTGATACAGAAGAGGGCTGAGCCGCTGGCCTTGAGAAGGGAGAATCATGTAGCCCCGGACTCTCAGGGTGATTCAGGGAAAGCTGACTCAGCCCCAACACCTTCAGTCCCAGAGACAAATTCCTGGAAGACTGGGGCAAGAGCCAACCTGAACAAGAATGGAGGTGGAAAGGGTGGGAAGGAGGGACGCTGAGAGCTACCTGAAGTGGGGCAGGGGGCCGCCCAGAGGGTGGGATGCTATGAAAGTAAAAACGTGCCTACACACCCTGCCTCATTTATCTATTACTGCACGACCCATGCCCCCCAAAATTGGTGTCTTAAAACCATTATCATCTGTGTCATGAGTCTGCGAGGTGAGTTGGGTGGTCCTTCTGCTTCCCCCTGTCCAGCTGTGTCTGCAGTCACCGGGGACTGGCCCAGACTGGCCTGTCTTCCAGGCTCATGTCCAGGCCACGGTGGGTGCCTGCTATCAGCTGAGACTGTCAGTCGGAGCATCTCCACCTCCCCTCATAGGACCTCCCCACGCACCACGGGCATCCAGCATGGAGCGACTTCCCCACGCACCACGGGCATCCAGCATGGAGCGACCTCCCCACGCACCACGGGCATCTCAGCGTGGAGCGACCTCCCCACGCACCACGGGCATCTCAGCGTGGAGCGACCTCCCCACGCACCACGGGCATCTCAGCGTGGAGCGACCTCCCCACGCACCACGGGCATCTCAGCGTGGAGCGACCTCCCCACGCACCACGGGCATCTCAGCGTGGAGCGACCTTCCCACGCACCACGGGCATCTCAGCGTGGAGCGACCTCCCCACGCACCATGGGCATCTCAGCATGGAGCTGGAGCAGAAGACAGGACATTTGATGGTGCAAGTGGAAGCTGCATACAGGTCTAGAGCCAGCCTGGGAGGTCCCCTGCCCCTCTGCCTCATCCTGTTGACCACACGGCTAATCATGGACTCTCCCAAATTTCACAGGAGAGGGAACAGCCTCCACTTCTAGGTGGGAGCGGCCGAGAGGCCATGCCTTCTTTAACCAGCACCTTCCTCTTCGTCCTTTCTATTCCTCCCTCTCCATTCTCTCTTCTGCTCTCTCCTGTGCTACCCACTGTCCACACTTGGCCCCGAACAAGGGCAAACAGATAAAGACCCCTGAGGTCAGTGGCGAGGGGACTCCTGCATATCCAGGACCTCTCTGGGGAAGGAGGACCCAAAGCTACAAAATCCTGGGAGTGGCAGGAGGCAGGGGGAGGGCCAAGGGAGTGGAGAGGCCTGGCAAGCCCCCAGCACATACCCTGGGATTAGGGAGACTCCCAGCCAGCGAGGGGAAGCTTGACCCAGGGGGAGCTGGCCCCCCAGCCCCAGCAGCCTCACTGAGGCAGAGCCACGAGGCATGTGGGCGTGCCAGGAAGTCCTCCTCACTTGAGGGCTCAGCTCCTGCAGGCTCGGGGCCTGCTGGGGACAAAGGCCAGGTCCTCGGGCCCTGCCTTCACGTGACTAATTTCCTGGAGTCCTGCCAAGTACAGCCTGGGTTCAGGGCCTCTGTTAACCTTTCCTCACTAGGTTACACCTCACTGGGCCCAAAGGTGTTGCATTTGCCCTTTGGCTCCCAGAGACATGCACCCCAAGGGCCGTGGACCAATGTCCTTTCCTCCAACCCCTCTCCACTGCCTCGTGACTGCAAAACACCCATTCCTCCCCTGGCAGGGTGGGGACTCTGGCTGATGGCTCAGCCCCACATTCAGGGCAAAGGACAGGTGGGGAGGACTAAGCTGTCCGGCCCCTGCCTCTTCCCCCAGGTCTCCCACTGGACAGTGACCAACACCTGCTAAATCCCTGAGGCTACCCTCCCCCACTCCTCCTCAACCATCTCATAGATTTTGGCAGCTGCCTCTCTCTCTCTGCCTCCACCTAGTTCCCCCTCCCTCCATCCCTCACCCCTTCCTATCTTCCTCTCTCCCTCCTCCCACAAGGTCTCCCTGGGCACCTTCCAGGCCCAGGTGCTGCATCCCTAGAAATGGCCAGGGCTCAGTCCTTGAGCTGACGTCAGCCCTTCCAATCCTGCAGGCCAGGGGAGCGACAGAGCCAGCTGGCAAAGCCCTCAGCAAGTGGCAGCAAGACCCCCAGAAGACACTGCCAAGTGCTGGAAGATGGTGGGCCTTTCCTTCTGGAGAAAAGTTACAAGAAATAAAAATAAATATTACTCATCGATTAAAAGAAATGAGCTATCAAGCCACAAAAAGGCATGAAGCAACCTCAAATGCATATTGCCAATCTAATTGGAAGAAGCCAGTCTGAAAAGGCTACATACTGTCCAATTCCAACTCCATGACATTCTGCAAAAGGCAAAACTGTAGAAACAGTAAGATCAGTGGTTGCTGTGGGGGTTCAGGATGAATAGGAGTACAGAGGAATTTTAGGGCACAGAAACTGTTCCGTAGGATCCTGTAATGGTGGATACCTCGCATTATTTCCGCAAACCCATAGGATGTAGGACACCACTAGTGAACTCTAATGTAAATTATGGACTTTAGTTCATAATAATGTATCAATATTGGTTAATCAGTGGTAACAGACATACTATCCTCATGCAAGATGTCAATAGGGGAAACTGGTGGGGAGGTGGGGTGGAGGTAACGAGGTCACTGAAAACTCTGTTCTTTCTTTTAGATTTGCAATTCTGTAAATCTAAACCTGCTCTAAAACAGAAAGTCTGTTTTTTAAGATGGTACACAAAATAATAACAACGGGGCATTTCTTGAGGTGTCTAGGGAACATGTCCCCCTCTTGCCCATGCAGTTCATGTTGGCTCCAGAATGCAGCAGCCGCACTTTTCACAATTGCCAAAAACTAGGGCAAGCTCAAATGTCCATGCACTGATTAAAGGAATACCAAGATGTGGAATATCCAATAATGGCATATTATTCAGCCATGAAAAGGAATGAAG